GTGGTTTTTCTTTGTTTCTTTCTTTAGGGCCCGAGCGTAGCTGCTAAGCAGCTGCGAGAGCCCTATTATTCCCCAAGTGGTTTTTCTTTGTTTCTTTCTTTCTTCTTTTTCCTCCCCTTTGAACTGGAAAATGGCCCACTTCCCACTGGCGAAAACTCATGAAATTTGGCAGGATGACCGGGCCTGGTGAAAAATTTGATATTCCAAAGTCGCCCAAACAAGAAAATGCAAAATGGCTCCATAGCGCCCCCTAAGGTGAAAATTCACACTATTGACTGTCACGCCTTTACGCTTTGTCAAAATGACACAAAAATTGACACACATATGTATCTCAATAAGATCTACAAAAAAGTCAGTGCAGGCGTATCTGTCAAATGTACGGTTAAAGGGTTATTCCGCATTTTTTGCCGATCCGCACACATTGGAATTTCGCTAACTCCTCCGAAGGCTTTCTTTCCACCGGCACCACATTTGCTCAGGCCAATCTACACCCCATGGCCATTAAAAGTTATTCAAATCATGACGCTGCACCCCACGGTTTAGGTTCTAGGGGGCGCCAAAGATAACCCTAAAATCCACATATTTAAAAGTCTTATAACTTTTTATTTTTGTCCTCACTGGCCTCCAAGTTTTCTAGGATGATGCAATGTCCAGCCATCAACACATTTGTGAAGGAATTTTTACTCCCCAAAAGAGCGCCCCCCCATGGCAGGAGAAAAAAGTCCATTTTTTCTTGTCCCGTAAGGTGAAAATTCACATTGTTGAGTGTGACACCTGTACGCTTTGTCATATTGACACAAAATTTGACAATCACGTGTATCTCAATAAGATCTACGAAAAAGTCAATGGGTGCGTATCTGTCAAATGTACGGTTAGAGGGCTATTTATCATTTTTTGCCGATTCGCACACATTGGAATGTGGCTAACTCCTCCTAAGGCTTTCGTTCCACCGGCACCACATTTGCTCAGGCCAATCTACACCCCATGGCCATTCAAAGTTGTAAAAATCATGACGCTGCACCCCACGGTTTATGTTCTAGGGGGCGCCAAAGATGACCAAAAAATCCACATTCTTAAAAGAATCCACATTCCCCCCCCCCCCCCATGGCAGGAGAAAAAGTCAAGTTTTTCCTGCCCATCGCTCAATGGCTCAATCGCATCGCTCTCCAGGCAACACCGTAACGAGGAGCAACCTGCCATTTGGATATATCCCAGCTGTGTTTGTGCCCTCACTCATGGTCCAGACTTTTTTCAAATAGGACATGAAGTTTGTCTGCAGCGAGTGTTTTGGTAGAAACTGCGCCTCCCATTCATTATAATGGGAAATGACCACAGACAAGTGCCCACACCATCTTTGGACCTTGAGTGTGACGCGATCGGGAGGGGGAGGCGGTCGCGCTGGGGGCGGCACGACGCGGCTCGGGCCCGACAGTGCCCCACCGGGGCCCTAGTTTTTAATTGTCTCTCAGCTTTTTTGTAATAACAAGTCACATAATTTAATTTCATAATACATTTTGATATTTAATTTGTATTTCCTTTGTACCTAAATTTTTATTATATGTATTGCAATGTATTTTAAATATATGAATTTTGTATGAATGATCACACCATTTTTGATAACCTACTCTAGGATTACACACAAAACTATCTATGGTTAACTCTGGTGCATTTACATGCCTTGACTTTATTAATTGACATGCTTATCACTGTGCACTGTCCCTGATAAATAAATAATAAATAATATACATCATTTCTAATCATTTATTTATATTACATATTATTCACTGTGCTTGTACATGAATTAATTCATTTTACCATTCAAAAATCTTGAGTTATTGTACTGACTTTCAGTGGAAAGGTTGTATTCCAATTGTGGACTGTTTACTTTATTATCAGATGTACATATCAGATGGCACTAAAGGGACAACATTTGTCCTGGGTGTATTATTGATCAAAGGGTTCTTCTTTTGCAAGCATTTCGGTAGATACTTTGCATGCCGCTGTAAAGCTTCACATTTCAGTTGAAAAACTGGACTTGCTTGGAGACACAGCACATCCCCAAAGAAAATACAAAGAATCTAAAAACAACACAATCAGCTCAGACTGTATGAGAGCTTATCTCTAAACTCACAAAAATCTCTAAACCAAACATATTTCAAGACAACTGATCCACTCTACTACAACAATCGAAAACATAAAAAAGGCTGACACAACTACAGCAGAGTATCAAGAAAAAATTAAGTTTTCGTTTCAGATTTAGATATTACAATTGTAAATGTAGAACAATAATTCATAAGGTATATAAAGTCATAAAACTACTTTTGTGGAATAGGAAATGACTAAAGCTGGTCATCTGCAGGGTTACCGCTCGATGTATCAGCAGGTAATTACAGACTTCTAGTGGTTTCTGAAGAGACAATCAAACTGATGATGATCAACATTTGTGTTTCAGAGTGGATCAGTCTCAGAGGAGTACCACATCTCTGACACCATCACTAGCCTACACCTGCAGAGACAACAACACCTTATGGTATATGGATTCATATCATAAACTAAAGCCCAATGTCATCCACAAATATTTACAACTGCATAAACAAATATACCCTCAGCATATTCATTTCTGACTCCACAAAACTAGCTTTTGTAGAGGCAGAAATTAATATGCTAGGGATACATCTGTCAATGCAACCGTGAATATCTGTGAATGACATTGAACTTTACTTTATGATACGAATCCATATGCCAGAATAAGGTATTGATGTCTCTGCAGGCATAAATTACCAACAATGTCTGAAACGTGATGCTCATCAAAGCTCAACTCCCTCTGTATCACAAATGTTGATCATCATCAGTTTGATTGTTTCTTACATCCACAGATAAACCTGCACATAACCAGCTTCAGTAATTTCCCCCTTCACAAAGGCACCTTTATGACTTTAAATACGTTAGGAGTTCATTCTCCTAAATTTACAACTTTAATCTCTAAATCTTACAAATATAAAAAACATAAATGATGTCCTAATCCTCTGCTGTAGTTGTGTCAGCTTTCTTATTTCTAATGTTTTTAATTGTTGAAGCAGAGCATGTCATTCGTCTCTAACTCTTTAGTGTTTGATTTACAGATTTTAGTGAGCTCAGACATCATGCTCTCAGATAGCCTGAGCTGACTGTCTGCTGTTTTTGGATTTCTTGTACTTTCTTTTAAGCCACACTGTGGCTGTGTCTCATTTCAGAGACCGCATCGTGATAAGCGCGCTTAACGGCGCTTAGCTGAGTGCACTGCCGTTTTGAGCCGTTTTACGCCGTTTTGCGCCGTTCTGTGCCGTTCTGTGCCCTTCCTGTGTCCCATTTCAGATACATCAGCATCACATTGTCATAAGTATAAAGACTTTAAAAAGAATATATGAGAAATACGTCTTTTCCACGGGGAAAAAAACTGGTGTACTTGAAGGAAATCGCTGCTTTTGTGGAGGCAGAAATGAATATGCTGAGGATATATCTGTCAATGCAGCCGTAAATATCCGTGAATGACATTGAGCTTTAGTTTATGATATGAATCCATATGCAGTAATAAGGTGTTGGTGTCTCTGCAGGTGTAGGCTACGGCCGGTGTCAGAGACGTGGTGCTCGTCGGAGCTCGACTCCCTCTGGATCACAAATGTTGATCATCATCAGTTTGATTGTTTCTTCAGAAACCACAAAATCTCTCTGAATGACCCGCTGATACATCCACAGATAACCCTGCAGATGACCAGCTTCAGTCATTTCCCCCTCCACAAAAGCAGCTTTATGACTTTATTTACTTTATGACTTTATTCTCCTAAATTTACAACTTTAATCTCTAAATCTTAAAAGAAAAAAACCTCAATGTTGTCCTGATACTCTGCTGTAGTTTTGTCAGCTTTCTTATTTCTAATGTTTTTGATTGTTGAAGCAGAGCAGATCAGTTCGTCTCTAAATCTATAATGTTTGGTTAACAGATTTTAATGAGTTCAGAGATCATGCTCTCATACAGCCTGAGCTGACTGTCAGCTGTTTTTGGATTGCTTGTATTTTCTTTGAAGACGCGCTGCGTCTCCAAGCGAGTCCAGCCTCTCACCTGAAATGCGCAGCTGTGCAGTGGCACGCAATGGATTCTGGGATACCGACGGCACGAAAGCGTGGATAAATGCACGCTTGAAAACATGCTAAGCGCGCTTAGCATTTTTTAGCATCTCGTGCCAAACGGGACACCGTTCGCACCGTCGTGACGTCATGCACACTTCAAATGCACCGTTCGACGGTGCAGAAGGGCACTTAGGTCGATGCGGTCTCTGAAATGAGACACAGCCCTTGACTGTGACATCACAGTTTGAGATACAGTTCAGCTGCTCCAACTGTCTCTCACGCTCCACTTCACAGATCATCAAACTATACATGTGTGTAATGAGCGCATATTGAATGTTAATTATATTTACTATATTCATTATTAGAAGAAATAACAACAACAGTCTTTGGACAAAATTTCTTTTTATTACAAAATTAGAAGAATGGAAGCATAGTCCAATGAAACCATTCAAGTGATGTCATACCTCTTAATTTATTAATATGTTGGCTAGTCTGCACATTTCTTTATTCATCAGGTTTCCTGCATGCATACTAACAGAGCACATCAATAGCAGTGAATGATAAGTATGAGTGTATCATTGTGTAAGAAGAGAAAGTGGTTTACTTACACATCCATAGAAAAAATGTGGTTGAGCACAGCACGCAAACAAAGCTTTGCCACGACGGTGGAACTTCCCAAGTAGCCAATACCTAGGTCACACAATCATAGTGAACAAAGCTCAAACCAGGCCAGCCACTCACGAGGCTGGCTGTGGCAGTGAAAGTGAAAGCAACACGCAATGGCAGGAAGAACAGCAAACGCCGATGAAGGAAAAGGGTCTTTGCAGTGATGGCCGTTACCAGAGAGGGCTATGGCCCTAAGACGCAAATGGGATGGGGAGGCAATCGTGTTATGGGGGGGGGGGGGACGCGACACAGCTCAAGCCCGCCAGTGCCCCATCGGGGCCCTAGTTAGGGCCCGAGCCAGCTGCAGAGCAGCCGGGCGTAGAGCCCTATTATTCCTGTATGGGTTCTTCTTTCTTCTTTCTTTCTTTCTTTCTTTAGGGCCCGAGCCAGCTGCAGAGCAGCCGGGCGTAGAGCCCTATTATTCCTCTAGTGGTTTTTCTTTGTTTCTTTCTTTCTTTAGGGCCCGAGCGTAGCTGCTAAGCAGCTGCGAGAGCCCTATTATTCCCCAAGTGGTTTTTCTTTGTTTCTTTCTTTCTTTCTTCTTTTTCCTCCCCTTTGAACTGGAAAATGGCCCACTTCCCACTGGCGAAAAATTTGGCAGGACGACCGGGCCTGGTGAAAAATTCGATATTCTGAAGTCGCCCAAACAATAAAATGCAAAATGGCTCCATAGCGCCCCCTAAGGTGGAAATTCACACTATTGACTGTCACGCCTGTACGCTTTGTCATATTGACACAAAAATTGACACACATATGTATCTCAATAAGATCTACAAAAAAGTCAGTGCGGCCGTATCTGTCAAAATTACGGTTAAAGGGTTATTTCGCATTTTTTGCCGATCCGCACACATTGGAATTTCGCTAACTCCTCCGAAGGCTTTCGTTCCACCGGCACCACATTTGCTCAGGCCAATCTACACCCCGTGGCCATTAAAAGTTATCAAAATCATGACGCTGCACCCCAAGGTTTAGGTTCTAGGGGGCGCCAAAGATAACACTAAAATCCACATATTTAAAAGTCTTATAACTTTTTATTTTTGTCCTCACTGGCCTCCAAGTTTTCTAGGATGATGCAATGTCCAGCCATCAACACATTTGTGAAGGAATTTTTACTCCCCAAAAGAGCGCCCCCCCATGGCAGGAGAAAAAAGTCCATTTTTTCTTGTCCCCTAAGGTGAAAATACACACTGTTGAGTGTCACGCCTATACGCTTTGTCAAAATGACACAAAAATTGACACACACATGTAACTCAATAAGATCTACGAAAAAGTCAATGCGCGCGTATCTGTCAAATGTACGGTTAAAGGGTTATTCCGCATTTTTTGCCGATCCGCACACATTGGAATGTGGCTAACTCCTCCTAAGGCTTTCGTCCCACTGAAACCAAATTTGCTCAGGCCAATCTACACCCCATGGCCATTCAAAGTTGTAAAAATCATGACGCTGCACCCCACGGTTTACGTTCTAGGGGGCGCCAAAGATGACCAAAAAATCCACATTCTTAAAAGAATCCACATTCTCCCCCCCCATGGCACGAGAAAAAGTCAAGTTTTTCCTGCCCATCGCTCAATGGCTCAATCGCATCGCTCTCCAGGCAACACCGTAAGGAGGAGTAACCTGCCATTTGGATATATCCCAGCTGTGTTTATGCCCTCACTCATGGTCCAGACTTTTTTCAAATAGGACATGAAGTTTGTCTGCAGCGAGTGTTTTGGTAGAAACTGCGCCTCCCATTCATTATAATGGGAAATGACCACAGACAAGTGCGCACACCATCTTTGGACCTTGAGTGTGACACGATCGGGAGGGGGAGGCGGTCACGCTGGGGGCGGCACGACGTCGCTCGGGCCCGACAGTGCCCCACCGGGGCCCTAGTTAGGGCCCGAGCGTAGCTGCTAAGCAGCTGCGAGACTATTATTCCCCAAGTGGTTTTTCTTTGTTTCTTTCTTAGGGCCCGAGCGTAGCTGCTAAGCAGCTGCGAGAGCCCTATTATTCCCCAAGTGGTTTTTCTTTGTTTCTTTCTTTCTTTCTTCTTTTTCCTCCCCTTTGAACTGGAAAATGGCCCACTTCCCACTGGCGAAAACTCATGAAATTTGGCAGGACGACCGGGCCTGGTGAAAAATTCGATATTCTGAAGTCGCCCAAACAATAAAATGCAAAATGGCTCCATAGCGCCCCCTAAGGTGGAAATTCACACTATTGACTGTCACGCCTGTACGCTTTGTCATATTGACACAAAAATTGACACACATATGTATCTCAATAAGATCTACAAAAAAGTCAATGCGCGCGTATCTGTCAAAATTACGGTTAAAGGGTTATTTCGCATTTTTTGCCGATCCGCACACATTGGAATTTCGCTAACTCCTCCGAAGGCTTTCGTTCCACCGGCACCACATTTGCTCAGGCCAATCTACACCCCGTGGCCAGTAAAAGTTATCAAAATCATGACGCTGCACCCCAAGGTTTAGGTTCTAGGGGGCGCCAAAGATAACACTAAAATCCACATATTTAAAAGTCTTATAACTTTTTATTTTTGTCCTCACTGGCCTCCAAGTTTTCTAGGATGATGCAATGTCCAGCCATCAACACATTTGTGAAGGAATTTTTACTCCCCAAAAGAGCGCCCCCCCATGGCAGGAGAAAAAAGTCCATTTTTTCTTGTCCCCTGAGGTGAAAATACACATTGTTGAGTGTCACGCCTATACGCTTTGTCAAAATGACACAAAAATTGACACACACATGTAACTCAATAAGTTCTACGAAAAAGTCATGCGCACGTATCTGTAAAATGTACGGTTAAAGGGTTATTCCGCATTTTTTGCCGATCCGCACACATTGGAATATGGCTAACTCCTCCTAAGGCTTTCGTTCCACTGGCACCACATTTGCTCAGGACAATCTACACCCCATGGCCATTAAAAGTTATTCAAATCATGACGCTGCACCCCACGGTTTAGGTTCTAGGGGGCGCCAAAGATAACCCTAAAATCCACATATTTAAAAGTCTTATAACTTTTTATTTTTGTCCTCACTGGCCTCCAAGTTTTCTAGGATGATGCAATGTCCAGCCATCAACACATTTGTGAAGGAATTTTTACTCCCCAAAAGAGCGCCCCCCCATGGCAGGAGAAAAAAGTCCATTTTTTCTTGTCCCCTACGGTGAAAATACATATTGTTGAGATTCACGCCTATACGCTTTGTCATATTGACACAAAATTTGACAATCACGTGCCTTGCCTGGTATCATTTTTTTCAGCACAACCTCACCTGTGCGAATTTACAGTTATTTTATCATGTTGACATACTGAATTTACACAATGGACCCAAATTCACACACAAAACATAAAATCCGAGTGGAAAAAAGTAACATTTTTACTGTGAAAACCACAAATATGTGTGATGAACTGTTTTTAAAACTTAAACTTCAAATAAAAATTGTAAACTTCAAAACATATGCAAATTTTTAACAAAGAACATAGTGATTTACCTCTATTTTCATCAAAATGCAGGCAATGGCCCAGGCGTTCTTTGTAAAATTATTTACAAAACACTGTATAGTCTCACAAATGTCACTTTTTATTTATGCCACTGCAAAAAAACATGATGTAAATGATGCATGATGTAAAACATGATGTAAAAAACTTGTGTAGATCCTCCTCTATGTCAGTCCATGTGTAATTTTTCCATAATTCTTTGTTTTTTGCAGCATTTTTGTTAGTGTAACTGCAGATTGTGCTGACAGTGTCTATGGCACAAAAAAAAAAAAAAATTAAAATGCCTCAACATGAACCCCTGGTGGTCTCTGAGGGTGAAACCTGCTAACTGCTGCAGCTCTGTCAGCTTCAGTCTCCCATGCAGAGCTCTGAGCGTATGTGTGGCTCTGCACCCTTAGCAGCGTTGCTAACTCCTCAGTAAGGAAAGCCTGCTTCATGTCAGAGTCTCTAAACTCCAGAAGAAGTCGATAAAAGTCCCTTTCTTTCTAAAAAAAAGTCGTTAGGGGGTCTGAAAAGTCATTGAATCTAACAACAAAGTCGCTAGGTTTGCAACTACGTGTCCCAGACTGCATCCCTGCTGAGAGTCCCTCCCTCCCTTCTCATGTTGCAGGAAGACAGTAAGCACCCGCCCCTTGTCAATCAGTCACCATATAATTTTGGATTGGTTGTTGTGGTGAAGTTTTCCACCAATAGGAGAGATGTTGTGGTGTGTTTTTTTTTTCTTTTGGCAAGCCTTTTCCGCCTGTAAGACCTGTCGCTAATGTCTGCATGCTATGTTTTCCTGTCTCATACAGCGCGATTGAGCGCCGAACGTGATCAAAATAAGCAGAAAAAAAGTATCGCGGACATAATTTATCATAACTCTGGTTTTATTTGGCCTATCAACACAATTTAAAAACTGGTATATAGGTTGAGGTCCTCACTTTTGAGATCAGTTGAAACGGAGAGTCAACGAGGCTCCGTCTTGCAGCTACATCCGGTTAAATATGTCATGTGACTTGAACGCACACACACACACGCACACACACACACACACACACACACACACACACACACACACACTCAGAGTCTGGTTTTTAGCACCTGCAAAAACATGCTATTTACATATTTGACAAGAATGCAGAGGCTCCTTTTGCCCCTGAAAAAAATCAAATTTCAAACACAACTTGACTGGTCATTTCTCCAAAAGACAACCATGAAGCTCCATCCAAACCTGAAGCAGGCAGTTGGTGCATGTGTACAGTAACCTGAGGGGAGTGAGGTGAGTGCTTCTGAGGAGAACATGAGCAGTGAAGATTCACCTTGGAGCTAGAACAGAGACATGCACATGATTATACAGGGGCAGGGGCTCAAGTTTTTTCCAGTCGTTTATACAATATGGAAATTAATGTGAAATTAAAACACAAAGTATTAATAGAAAGGTAATGACTGTCCTGTGTAGGTGACAGTGATATCCAATAGGCTAGGCACTCACGAGGCTGGCTGTGGCAAGTGTAAGTGAAAGCAACACGCACTGGCAGGAAGAACAGCAAACGCCGATGAAGGAAAAGGGTCTTTGCAGTGATGGGCGTTACCAGAGAGGGCGATGGCCAGAGGACACAAATGGGACGGGGAGGCAGCACGTTGGGGGGGGGGGGGGTGACACGGCTCGGGCCCGCCAGTGCCCCAACGGGGTCCTAGTTCTTTCTTTCTTTCTTCTTATTTTTCCTCCCCTTTGAAGGGGAAAATGGCCCACTTCCCACTGGCGAAAACTCATGACATTTGGCAGGATGACCGGGCCTGGTGAAAAATTCGATATTCTGAAGTCGCCCAAACAATAAAATGCAAAATGGCTCCATAGCGCCCCCTAAGGTGGAAATTCACACTATTGACTGTCACGCCTGTACGCTTTGTCATATTGACACAAAAATTGACGCACACATGTATCTCAATACGATCTACAAAAAAGTCAGTGTGGGCGTATCTGTCAAATGTACGGTTAAAGGGTTATTATGCATTTTTTGCCGATCCGCACACATTGGAATTTCGCTAACTCCTCCTAAGGCTTTCGTTCCACTGACACCAAATTTGCTCAGGCCAATCTACACCCCATGGACATTCAAAGTTGTAAAAATCATGACGCTGCACACCACGGTTTACGTTCTAGGGGGCGCCAAAGAGGACCCAAATATCCACATTTTTAAAAGTCTTATAACTTTATTTTTATCCTCACTGGCCTCCAAGTTTTCTAGGATGATGCAATGTTCAGTCATCAACACATTTGTGAAGGAATTTTTTCTCCCCAAAAGAGCGCCCCCCCATGGCAGGAGAAAAAGTCAAGTTTTTCCTGCCCATCGCTCAATGGCTCAAACGCATCGCTCTCTCGGCAAAACCGAAAGGAGGAGCACCTTGCCATTTGGATATATACTAGCTGTGTTTGTGCCCTCACTCATGGTCCAGACTTTTTTCAAAAAGGACATGGAGTTTGTCTGCAGCGAGCGTTTTGGTAGAAACTGCGCCTCCCATTCATTATAATGGTAAATGACCACAGACAAGTGCGCACACCATCTTTGGACCTTGAGTGTGACGCCATCGGGAGGGGTAGGCGGTCGCGCTGGGGGCGGCGCGACACGACTCGGGCCCGCCAGTGCCCCAACGGGGCCCTAGTTATTTTTCCTCCCCTTTAAACTGGAAAATGGCCCACTTCCCACTGGCGAAAACTCAGGAAATTTGGCAGGATGACCGGGCCTGGTGAAAAATTTGATATTCTGAAGTCGCCCAAACAATAAAATGCAAAATGGCTCCCTAGCGCCCCATAAGGTGAAAATTCACATGACGGCTGTACGCTTTGTCATATTGACACAAAAATTGACACACATATGTATCTCAATAAGATCTACAAAAAAGTCAGTGCGGGCGTATCTGTCAAATGTACGGTTAAAGGGTTATTTCGCATTTTTTGCCGATCCGCACACATTGGAATTTCGCTAACTCCTCCGAAGGCTTTTGTTCCACCGGCACCACATTTGCTCAGGCCAATCTACACCCCATGGCCATTAAAAGTTATTCAAATCATGACGCTGCACCCCACGGTTAAGGTTCTAGGGGGCGCCAAAGATAACCCTAAAATCCACATATTTAAAAGTCTTATAACTTTTTATTTTTGTCCTCACTGGCCTCCAAGTTTTCTAGGATGATGCAATGTCCAGCCATCAACACATTTGTGAAGGAATTTTTACTCCCCAAAAGAGCGCCCCCCCATGGCAGGAGAAAAAAGTCCATTTTTTCTTGTCCCCTAAGGTGAAAATACATATTGTTGAGATTCAAGCCTATACGCTTGGTCATATTGACACAAAATTTGACAATCACGTGTATCTCAATAAGATCTACGAAAAAGTCAATGCGCGCGTATCTGTCAAATGTACGGTTCAAGGGTTATTCCGCATTTTTTGCCGATCCGCACACATTGGAATGTGGCTAACTCCTCCTAAGGCTTTCGTTCCACCGGCACCACATTTGCTCAGGCCAATCTACACCCCATGGCCATTAAAAGTTATTCAAATCATGACGCTGCACCCCACGGTTTACGTTCTAGGGGGCGCCAAAGATAACCCTAAAATCCACATATTTCAAAGTCTTATAACTTTTTATTTTTGTCCTCACTGGCCTCCAAGTTTTCTAGGATGATGCGATGTCCAGCCATCAACACATTTGTGAAGGAATTTTTACTCCCCAAAAGAGCGCCCCCCCCATGGCAGGAGAAAAAAGTCCATTTTTTCTTGTCGCCTAAGGTGAAAATTCACATTGTTGAGTGTGACACCTGTACGCTTTGTCATATTGACACAAAATTTGACAATCACGTGTATCTCAATAAGATCTACGAAAAAGTCAATGCGCGCGTATCTGTCAAATGTACGGTTAAAGGGCTATTTTGCATTTTTTGCCGATTCGCACACATTGGAATGTGGCTAACTCCTCCTAAGGCTTTCGTCCCACTGACACCAAATTTGCTCAGGCCAATCTACACCCCATGGCCATTCAAAGTTGTAAAAATCATGACGCTGCACCCCACGGCTCACGTTCTAGGGGGCGTCAAAGATGACCCAAAAATCCACATTCTTAAAAGAATCCACATCCCCCCCCCCAGCCCCCCAAGGCAGGAGAAAAAGTCAAGTTTTTCCTGCCCATCGCTCAATGGCTCAATCGCATCGCTCTCCCGGCAACACCGTAAGGAGGAGCAACCTGCCATTTGGATATATCCTAGCTGTGTTTGTGCCCTCACTCATGGTCCAGACTTTTTTCAAATAGGACATTTAGTTTGTCTGCAGCGAGTGTTTTGGTAGAAACTGCGCCTCCCATTCATTATAATGGGAAATGACCACAGACAAGTGCGCACACCATCTTTGGACCTTGAGTGTGACGCGATCGGGAGGGGGAGGCGGTCGCGCTGGGGGCGGCGCGACACGGCTCGGGCCCGACAGTGCCCCACCGGGGCCCTAGTTCTTTCTTTAGGGCCCGAGCCAGCTGCAGAGCAGCCGGGCGTAGAGCCCTATTATTCCTGTATAGGTTTTTTAGGGCCCGAGCGTAGCTGCTAAGCAGCTGCGAGAGCCCTCTTGTTCCTGCATGTTTCCTTCTTTTGTTATTATTAGGGCCCGAGCCAGCTGCAGAGCAGCCGGGCGTAGGCCCTATTATTCCCCAAGTGGTTTTTCTTTGTTTCTTTCTTTCTTTCTTTCTTTCTTCTTTTTCCTCCCCTTTGAACTGGAAAATGGCCCACTTCCCACTGGCGAAAACTCATGAAATTTGGCAGGACGACCGGGCCTGGTGAAAAATTCGATATTCTGAAGTCGCCCAAACAATAAAATGCAAAATGGCTCCATAGCGCCCCCTAAGGTGGAAATTCACACTATTGACTGTCACGCCTGTACGCTTTGTCATATTGACACAAAAATTGACACACATATGTATCTCAATAAGATCTACAAAAAAGTCAGTGCGGCCGTATCTGTCAAAATTACGGTTAAAGGGTTATTTCGCATTTTTTGCCGATCCGCACACATTGGAATTTCGCTAACTCCTCCGAAGGCTTTCGTTCCACCGGCACCACATTTGCTCAGGCCAATCTACACCCCGTGGCCATTAAAAGTTATCAAAATCATGACGCTGCACCCCAAGGTTTAGGTTCTAGGGGGCGCCAAAGATAACACTAAAATCCACATATTTAAAAGTCTTATAACTTTTTATTTTTGTCCTCACTGGCCTCCAAGTTTTCTAGGATGATGCAATGTCCAGCCATCAACACATTTGTGAAGGAATTTTTACTCCCCAAAAGAGCGCCCCCCATGGCAGGAGAAAAAAGTCCATTATTTCTTGTCCCCTAAGGTGAAAATACACATTGTTGAGTGTCACGCCTATACGCTTTGTCAAAATGACACAAAAATTGACACACACATGTAACTCAATAAGATCTACAAAAAAGTCCATGCGCGCGTATCTGTCAAATGTACAGTTAAAGGGTTATTCCGCATTTTTTGCCGATACGCACACATTGGAATTTCGCTAACTCCTCCGAAGGCTTTCGTTCCACCGGCACCACATTTGCTCAGGCCAATCTACACCCCATGGCCATTAAAAGTTATTCAAATCATGATGCTGCACCCCATGGTTTAGGTTCTAGGGGGCGCCAAAAATAACCCAAAAATCCACATTCTTAAATGTTTTATAACTTTTTATTTTTGTCCTCACTGGCCTCCAAGTTTTCTAGGATGATGCAATGTCCAGCCATCAACACATTTGTGAAGGAATTTTTACTCCCCAAAAGAGCGCCCCCCCCATGGTAGGAGAAAAAAGTCAAGTTTTTCTTGTCCCATAAAATAAAAATACACATTGTTGAGTGTCACGCCTGAACGCTTTGTCATATTGACACAAAAATTGACAATCATGTGTATCTCAATTAGATCTACGAAAAAGTCAAAGAGCGCGTATCTGTATAATGTACGGTTAAAGGGCTATTTTGCATTTTTTGCCGATTCGCACACATTGGAATGTGGCTATCTCCTCCTAAGGCTTTCGTCCCACCGATACCAAATTTGCTCAGGGCAATCTACACCCCATGCCCATTCAAAGTTGTAAAAATCATGACGCTGCACCCCACGGTTTACGTTCTAGGGGGCGCCAAAGATGACCCAAAAATCCACATTCTTAAAAGTCATTTTGGCCACTGCAGGAGTACAGAGTACTGCAGTTCTAGGGGGCGCCAAAGATGACCCAAAAATCCACATTCTTAAAAGTCTTTTTGGCCACTGCAGGAGTACAGAGTACTGCAGGATACACACACATATACACACACGCCAACATACACACACACACACACACACACACACACACACACACACACACACACACACACACACACACACACACACAACACACACACACACTCAGAGTCTGTTTTTTAGCACCTGCAAAAACATGCTGTTTACATATTTGACAAGAATGCAGAGGCTTCCTTTTGCCCCTGAAAAAAATCAAATTTCAAACACAACTTGACTGTTCATTTCTCCAAAAGACAACCATGAAGCTCCATTTCAAACCTGAAGCAGATAGTTGGTGCATGTGTACAGTAACCTGAGGGGAGTGAGGTGACTATTTCTGAGGAGAACATGAGCAGTGAAGATTCACCTTGGAGCTAGAACAGGGACGTGCACATGATTATACAGGGGCAGGGGCTCAAGTTTTTTCCAGTCATTTATACAATATGGAAATTAATGTGAAATTAAACCACAAATATGTGTGATGAACTGTTTTTAAAACTTAAACTTCAAATAAAAATTGTAAACTTCAAAACATATGCAAATTTTTAACAAAGAACATAGTGATTTACCTCTATTTACATCAAAATGCAGGCAATGGCCCAGGCGTTCTTTGTAAAATTATTTACAAAACACTGTATAGTCTCACAAATGTCACTTTTTATTTATGCCACTACAAAAAAACATGATGTAAATGATGCATGATGTAAAACATGATGTAAAAAACTTGTGTAGATCCTCCTCTATGTCAGTCCATGTGTAATTTTTCCATAATTCTTTGTTTTTTGCAGCATTTTTGTTAGTGTAACTGCAGATTGTGCTGACAGTGTCTATGGCACAAAAAAAAATAAAAATTAAAATGCCTCAACATGAACCCCTGGTGGTCTCTGAGGGTGAAACCTGCTAACTGCTGCAGCTCTGTCAGCTTCAGTCTCCCATGCAGAGCTCGGAGCGCATGTGTGGCTCTGCACCCTTAGCAGCGTTGCTAACTCCTCAGTAAGGAAAGCCTGCTTCATGTCAGAGTCTCTAAACTCCAGAAGAAGTCGATAAAAGTCACTTTCTTTCTAAAAAAAGTCGTTAGGGGGTCTGAAAAGTAATTGAATCTAACAACAAAGTCGCTAGGTTTGCAACTACGTGTCCCAGACTGCATCCCTGCTGAGAGTCCCTCCCTCCCTTCTCATGTTGCAGGAAGAACGTAAGCGCACGCCCCTTGTCAATCAGTCACCATATAATTTTGGATTGGTTGTTGTGGTGAAGTTTTCCACCAATAGGAGAGATGTTGTGGTGTGTTTTTTTTTTCTTTTGGCAAGCCTTTTCCGCCTGTAAGACCTGTCGCTAATGTCTGCATGCTATGTTTTCCTGTCTCATACAGCGCGATCGAGCGCCGAACGTGATCAAAATAAGCAGAAAAAAAGTATCGCGGACATAATTTATCATAACTCTGGTTTTATTTGGCCTATCAACACAATTTAAAAACTGGTATATAGGTTGAGGTCCTCACTTTTGAGATAAGTTGAAACGGAGAGTCAACGAGGCTCCGTCTTGCAGCTACATCCGGTTAAATATGTCATGTGACTTGAACGCACACACAGACACACACACACACACACACACACACACACACACACACACACACACACACACACACACACACACACACTCAGAGTCTGGTTTTTAGCACCTGCAAAAACATGCTATTTACATATTTGACAAGAATGCAGAGGCTCCTTTTGCCCCTGAAAAAAATCAAATTTCAAACACAACTTGACTGCTCATTTCTCCAAAAGACAACCATGAAGCTCCATCCAAACCTGAAGCAGGCAGTTGGTGCATGTGTACAGTAACCTGAGGGGAGTGAGGTGAGTGCTTCTGAGGAGAACATGAGCAGTGAAGATTCACCTTGGAGCTAGAACAGAGACATGCACATGATTATACAGGGGCAGGGGCTCAAGTTTTTTCCAGTCGTTTATACAATATGGAAATTAATGTGAAATTAAAACACAAAGTATTAATAGAAAGGTAATGACTGTCCTGTGTAGGTGACAGTGATATCGAATAGGCTAGGCACTCACGAGGCTGGCTGTGGCAAGTGTAAGTGAAAGCAACACGCACTGGCAGGAAGAACAGCAAACGCCGATGAAGGAAAAGGGTCTTTGCAGTGATGGGCGTTACCAGAGAGGGCGATGGCCAGAGGACACAAATGGGACGGGGAGGCAGCACGTTGGGGGGGGACGCGACACGGCTCGGGCCCGCCAGTGCCCCAACGGGGTCCTAGTTATTATTTTTCCTCCCCTTTGAACTGGAAAATGGCCCACTTCCCACTGGCGAAAACTCATGAAATTTGGCAGGACGACCGGGCCTGGTGAAAAATTTGATATTCCGAAGTCGCCCAAACAAGAAAATGCAAAATGGCTCCATAGCGCCCCCTAAGGTGAAAATTCACACTATTGACTGTCACACGTGTACGCTTTGTCAAAATGACACAAAAATTGACACACACATGTATCTCAATAAGATCTACAAAAAAGTCAGTGTGGGCGTATCTGTCAAATGTACGGTTAAAGGGTTATTTCGCATTTTTTGCCGATCCGCACACATTGGAATTTCGCTAACTCCTCCGAAGGCTTTCGTTCCACCGGCACCACATTTGCTCAGGCCAATCTACACCCCATGGCCATTAAAAGTTATTCAAATCATGACGCTGCACCCCACGGTTTAGGTTCTAGGGGGCGCCAAAGATAACCCTAAGATCCACATATTTAAAAGTCTTATAACTTTTTATTTTTGCCCTCACTGGCCTCCAAGTTTTCTAGGATGATGCAATGTCCAGCCATCAACACATTTGTGAAGGAATTTTTACTCCCCAAAAGAGCGCCCCCCCATGGCAGGAGAAAAAAGTCCATTTTTTCTTGTCCCCTAAGGTGAAAATACACATTGTTGAGTGTAACACCTGTACGCTTTGGCAAAATGACAAAAATTGACACACACATGTATCTCAATAAGATCTACGAAAAAGTCAATGCGCGCGTATCTGTCAAATGTACGGTTAAAGGGTTATTCCGCATTTTTTGCCGATCCGCACACATTGGAATTTCGCTAACTCCTCCGAAGGCTTTCGTTCCACTGGCACCAAATTTGCTCAGGCCAATCTACACCCCATGGCCATTAAAAGTTATTCAAATCATGACGCTGCACCCCACGGTTTAGGTTCTAGGGGGCGCCAAAGATAACCCTAAAATCCACATATTTAAAAGTCTTATAACTTTTTATTTTTGTCCTCACTGGCCTCCAAGTTTTCTAGGATGATGCAATGTCCAGCCATCAACACATTTGTGAAGGAATTTTTACTCCCCAAAAGAGCGCCCCCCCATGGCAGGAGAAAAAAGTCCATTTTTTCTTGTCCCCTAAGGTGAAAATACATATTGTTGAGATTCACGCCTATACGCTTTGTCATATTGACACAAAATTTGACAATCACGTGCCTTGCCTGGTATCATTTTTTTCAGCACAACCTCACCTGTGTCGAATTTACAGTTATTTTATCATGTTGACATACTGAATTTACACAATGGACCCAAATTCACACACAAAACATAAAATCCGAGTGGAAAAAAGTAACATTTTTACTGTGAAAACCACAAATATGTGTGATGAACTGTTTTTAAAACTTAAACTTCAAATAAAAATTGTAAACTTCAAAACATATGCAAATTTTTAACAAAGAACATAGTGATTTACCTCTATTTACATCAAAATGCAGGCAATGGCCCAGGCATTCTTTGTAAAATTATTTACAAAACACTGTATAGTCTCACAAATGTCACTTTTTATTTATGCCACTACAAAAAAACATGATGTAAATGATGCATGATGTAAAACATGATGTAAAAAACTTGTGTAGATCCTCCTCTATGTCAGTCCATGTGTAATTTTTCCATAATTCTTTGTTTTTTGCAGCATTTTTGTTAGTGTAACTGCAGATTGTGCTGACAGTGTCTATGGCACAAAAAAAAAAAATTAAAATGCCTCAACATGAACCCCTGGTGGTCTCTGAGGGTGAAACCTGCTAACTGCTGCAGCTCTGTCAGCTTCAGTCTCCCATGCAGAGCTCTGAGCGCATGTGTGGCTCTGCACCCTTAGCAGCGTTGCTAACTCCTCAGTAAGGAAAGCCTGCTTCATGTCAGAGTCTCTAAACTCCAGAAGAAGTCGATAAAAGTCCCTTTCTTTCTAAAAAAAAGTCGTTAGGGGGTCTGAAAAGTCATTGAATCTAACAACAAAGTCGCTAGGTTTGCAACTACGTGTCCCAGACTGCATCCCTGCTGAGAGTCCCTCCCTCCCTTCTCATGTTGCAGGAAGAACGTAAGCGCCCGCCCCTTGTCAATCAGTCACCATATAATTTTGGATTGGTTGTTGTGGTGAAGTTTTCCACCAATAGGAGAGATGTTGTGGTGTGTTTTTTTTTTCTTTTGGCAAGCCTTTTCCGCCTGTAAGACCTGTCGCTAATGTCTGCATGCTATGTTTTCCTATCTCATACAGCGCGATCGAGCGCCGAACGTGATCAAAATAAGCAGAAAAAAAGTATCGCGGACATAATTTATCATAACTCTGGTTTTATTTGGCCTATCAACACAATTTAAAAACTGGTATATAGGTTGAGGTCCTCACTTTTGAGATAAGTTGAAACGGAGAGTCAACGAGGCTCCGTCTTGCAGCTACATCCGGTTAAATATGTCATGTGACTTGAACGCACACACAGACACACACACACGCACACACACACACACACACACTCAGAGTCTGGTTTTTAGCACCTGCAAAAACATGCTATTTACATATTTGACAAGAATGCAGAGGCTCCTTTTGCCCCTGAAAAAAATCAAATTTCAAACACAACTTGACTGGTCATTTCTCCAAAAGACAACCATGAAGCTCCATCCAAACCTGAAGCAGGCAGTTGGTGCATGTGTACAGTAACCTGAGGGGAGTGAGGTGAGTGCTTCTGAGGAGAACATGAGCAGTGAAGATTCACCTTGGAGCTAGAACAGAGACATGCACATGATTATACAGGGGCAGGGGCTCAAGTTTTTTCCAGTCGTTTATACAATATGGAAATTAATGTGAAATTAAAACACAAAGTATTAATAGAAAGGTAATGACTGTCCTGTGTAGGTGACAGTGATATCGAATAGGCTAGGCACTCACGAGGCTGGCTGTGGCAAGTGTAAGTGAAAGCAACACGCACTGGCAGGAAGAACAGCAAACGCCGATGAAGGAAAAGGGACTTTGCAGTGATGGGCGTTACCAGAGAGGGCGATGGCCAGAGGACACAAATGGGACGGGGAGGCAGCACGTTGGGGGGGGGGGGGGGGGGGGGGCGACATGGCTCGGGCCCGCCAGTGCCCCAACGGGGTCCTAGTCTTTGTTTGTTTCTTTCTTTCTTCTTTTTCCTCCCCTTTGAACTCGAAAATGGCCCACTTCCCACTGGCGAAAACTCATGAAATTTGGCAGGATGACTGGGACTGGTGAAAAATTCGATATTCTGAAGTCGCCCAAACAATAAAATGCAAAATGGCTCCATAGCGCCCCCTAAGGTGGAAATTCACACTATTGACTGTCACGCCTGTACGCTTTGTCATATTGACACAAAAATTGACACACATATGTATCTCAATAAGATCTACAAAAAAGTCAGTGCGGGCGTATCTGTCAAATGTACGGTTAAAGGGTTATTTCGCATTTTTTGCCGATCCGCACACATTGGAATTTCGCTAACTCCTCCGAAGGCTTTCGTTCCACCGGCACCACATTTGCTCAGGCCAATCTACACCCCATGGCCATTAAAAGTTATTCAAATCATGACGCTGCACCCCACGGTTTAGGTTCTAGGGGGCGCCAAAGATAACCCTAAAATCCACATATTTAAAAGTCTTATAACTTTTTATTTTTGTCCTCAATGGCCTCCAAGTTTTCTAGGATGATGCAATGTCCAGCCATCAACACATTTGTGAAGGAATTTTTACTCCCCAAAAGAGCGCCCCCCCATGGCAGGAGAAAAAAGTCAATTTTTTCTTGTCCCCTAAGGTGGAAATTCACACTATTGACTGTCACGCCTGTACGCTTTGTCATATTGACACAAAAATTGACACACATATGTATCTCAATAAGATCTACAAAAAAGTCAGTGCGGGCGTATCTGTCAAATGTACGGTTAAAGGGTTATTTCGCATTTTTTGCCGATCCGCACACATTGGAATTTCGCTAACTCCTCCGAAGGCTTTCGTTCCACCGGCACCACATTTGCTCAGGCCAATCTACACCCCATGGCCATTAAAAGTTATTCAAATCATGACGCTGCACCCCACGGTTTAGGTTCTAGGGGGCGCCAAAGATAACCCTAAAATCCACATATTTAAAAGTCTTATAACTTTTTATTTTTGTCCTCACTGGCCTCTTAGTTTTCTAGGATGATGCAATGTCCAGCCATCAATACATTTGTGAAGGAATTTTTACTCCCCAAAAGAGCGCCCCCCCATGGCAGGAGAAAAAAGTCCATTTTTTCTTGTCCCCTAAGGTGAAAATACACATTGTTGAGTGTCACGCCTGTTTGCTTTGTCAAAATGACACAAAATTTGACACACACATGTATCTCAATAAGATCTACGAAAAAGTCCATTTGCGCGTATCTGTCAAATGTACGGTTAAAGGGTTATTCCGCATTTTTTTGCCGATCCGCACACATTGGAATGTGGCTAACTCCTCCTAAGGCTTTCGTTCCACTGGCACCACATTTGCTCAGGCCAATCTACACCCCATGGCCATTAAAAGTTATTCAAATCATGACGCTGCACCCCACGGTTTAGGTTCTAGGGGGCGCCAAAGATAACCCTAAAATCCACATATTTAAAAGTCTTATAACTTTTTATTTTTGTCCTCACTGACCTCCAAGTTTTCTAGGATGATGCAATGTCCAGCCATCAACACATTTGTGAAGGAATTTTTACTCCCCAAAAGAGCGCCCCCCCATGGCAGGAGAAAAAGTTAAGTTTTTCCTGCCCTTCGCCCAATGGCTCAAACGCATCGCTCTCTCGGCAAAACCGAAAGGAGGAGCAACTTGCCATTTGGATATATGGAAGCTGTGTTTGTGCCCTCACTCATGGTCCAGACTTTTTTCAAAAAGGACATGGAGTTTGTCTGCAGCGAGCATTTTGGTAGAAACTGCGCCTCCCATTCATTATAATGGTAAATGACCACAGACAAGTGCGCACACCATCTTTGGACCTTGAATGTGACGCGATCGGGAGGGGGAGGCGGTCGCGCTGGGGGCGGCGCGACACGGCTCGGGCCCGCCAGTGCCCCACCGGGGCCCTAGTTCTTATTTTTCCTCCCCTATGAACTGGAAAATGGCCCACTTCCCACTGGCGAAAACTCATGAAATTTGGCAGGAAGACCGGGCCTGGTGAAAAATTTGATATTCTGAAGTCGCCCAAACAATAAAATGCAAAATGGCTCCATAGCGCCCCCTAAGGTTAAAATCCACACTATTGACTGTCACGCCTGTACGCTTTGTCATATGGACACAAAAATTGACACACACATGTATCTCAATAAGATCTACAAAGAAGTCAGTGCGGGCGTATCTGTCAAACGTACGGTTAAAGGGTTATTTCGCATTTTTTGCAGATCCGCACACATTGGAATTTCGCTAACTCCTCCGAAGGCTTTTGTTCCACTGGCACCACATTTGCTCGGGCCAATCTACACCCCATGGCCATTAAAAGTTGTACAAATCATGACGCTGCACCCCACGGTTTAGGTTCTAGGGGGCGCCAAAGATAACCAAAAAATCCACAGTCTTAAAAGTCTTATACCTTTTTATTTTTCTCCTCACTGGCCTCCAGGTTTTCTAGGATGATGCAATGTCCAGCCATCAACACATTTGTGAAGGAATTTTTACTCCCCAAAAAGAGCGCCCC